CCCCAAACCCCAAAACCCCAAAACCCCATCACTCAGGATTAATTTTAATCACAGAGTTAATTATAATTATATTAGTAATTTCAAAAATTCAAATATGATCCTTAATATGATCGGCTCATTGAAAGGCATTTCCTTCATCTCAATGGCTATTATGATTGGAATGAATCCTTAGAATGCAATTAAGATATCCTTTTCTCATTTCTGCTTTAATCTCTCAATGGCTATTCTCTCGCTCATATTCCCATATTATATGAAAAATCTGGTAATAAAATGATTATAAACATGACTTTACAGATTGAAGTGAGTTTACCATTTAAAGGCTCAATTACTGGGGCATTTTTTTTCACGTTTTTCAAAAACGTTCCTAGTCCTATTCTCTTATTTTATGAATGGCTAGTGTACTTGATTTGTAATTAAGATTAAACCGATTACAGCTTTTATTTAGGTCCACTTTACGGATTGTTTGAAATGTTCTAGCTCATTAATTTGGCATTTATCTTTTCGAGATATTTCTAAAAGAAAATAGACTTTGAAAGATCATTTTTCTAGCAAATAGCACCTATGATGATTTTGATCGTATCTATTACAACTTTGGGTCTAAGTTTAAAGAATCTATATGATATGACATAATAAGAATTATTTGTGAGCAAGTTTTCGTTGTAACTAAATTTATGTAAATATAATTTTATATTAGGATATTGGTAATTAGCTTTGCACTGGTGATCATAGTCTGTATAAATGCTTATTGCATTATTGTTGATTATGAAGATGGAATAGTATCTAACTCATGCATGCTATCACTTTATTTCAGTTATGTATTGTAGTCATTCTGGCAAGCCATAAACACTTTTGAGAAGTCAAGGCTTGCATAAACAAATTAAGTTAGTCAAACATTTGAATAAGGAATTTATGATTTATGGGATAATATAAAAGTATGGTAGAAGAGAGGATCTTAATATCTTACCTCTTTTCTAATTGGAAGCGGAGGTTACAATATTGATGGATTCTCTGAAAATATAATGGGATCTCCGGCATTCATGACAACGATAAAAATTGTTATACTTTTCATGACGCTTCCAATGACTGTCAATGAATGGCCTTGGATAGATCAAGAAGAAAGAAAAAAGGCAGAGTAATTGAAACTTGACTCTCAATAACCCTAGCATATTCTGCATTTAGAGCAAGATGAATATAATTCAAGGTTAGCGCATGCTAGCACTTATTTAATGAATGCTTTGCTAGTATTAATGACCACAAACTATACATTAAATCCCTAGTTTTATTTTCTGGGAAGAAGTGATCAAAATGAAGGAGGTGCCCTCTACGTGTACTTCCCTCTGCTCTAGATTTTCATTGGTATTATTTATTTCATCATCAAGATTTTACAAAGTGATTAATGAAATTAAGAGTTAATTTAATAAAATATTCATTATCTGTCATTAGGAGTTCCTTTTTAATGTGAATATGTATAGGCTTATTATATAAGTCCTCTTTTCTCTATAAATTGTTTAATATCATCATGAATAAAATCTTACCTGGATACAGATCTAAATAGAATTTTCTTTAATTTGAAGAGTCTTGTATCAACAATCTTTGAATCTTAATGTTATCATTGCCATACCAAGAGTTAAGCAATTTCCAAGCATAGAAAGGCAAAATAAAATAATCATAATTTTCCAATAATCCTTCTTTTAATCTCTATTAATTACTATTTTCATCTTAAAATTAGACAAGCTCACTAAAATTTAAGAGAATTAGACTGTGTTGGTAATTACCTATTATCTATGTGAGATGGGGGTTCATTATATCTGCTATCGCCGCACAACTCATCAATATCAAATTCATTCATTTACCCATCACTTGACATTAGGTACTCTTAAATGCTTTTATCATCCCCTACTCTAAAGCTCGAGACAATAGCATCATAATTGACAAAGTCAGTCCATTTTCTCCACCATTTAGCACTAATAATATAGACATGCTGTTATCTCTTATTTCTTTGCTAATTTTTGAAATCTGCAAAGCACTTTTGAATAAGTACTCTTTATCTGCTGGCTGTGAGATTTCGACAGTAATCACCACAGCCTAGGTTATTTTTCTTATCATAATGGGGACAAATACATTGATCTGAGGGATAAATATTTGCTATATCTTTACCTTTAATCCTTTATTTATTGTCTGAGTCCATTATTTTATTAATATCCAAAGCCAACGCTGATATTACAACATCATTACTATCCTCTTCACTTATTACAGCCTATTAATTGTTATTTTTGTTGTCAAACTATCTAATCTTCCCTGAATTGATTTAGGGCTCATCTGATATTTTTATTGATTCAGTGAACCTACTTTTATTGCTAAATGTTACCTAGTTTAAATGTATCACACATTCATCATCAAACTTAGGCGTTATAAGCTTATTTACATCTTGGGTATTATAAGTATGGGGCATTATTTGATCCTTACATTAAATTTTATATTACATCTCATGATTTGCTGTAAAGTTTAAATAATTATCTGATATTTCTGAAAGCATTCCTTGAGAAGTTTCATTTCCAAGAGCCTATATTGATCTCTTCTATATTGAGCTATCTTGAAAGTCTAGATGTTTCTTGCAACCACTTCGATCTTTTGAGATATTGTGATTTATATTTTATTCTAATTACTCATTATCCTCTTGATTTTACTCTTACTCAGTTTGAATATTATTATTGACCCTTTAGTTTTGAAGAGAGAGCTGCTCTAATTTGAATTCTAAATTTTGAAGGCTTATTACTCTGTTGAATTTTAAATTTTTTTTCCCCTATATTTTTATGAGATTCTCATTAGACTCGTAAGCATTAGGTAATGCTTATTGAGAAATGATGTTATGCTTCTAATTATGATTATTTAATTCATTCTCTTATCTTGTGAAGCTACTTTGATTTGGCAATAATTACTAGAAAGTTGAACTGTCACCAAAAGACTTTAAAGCATTAAACATAGTTGTTTCATCTTTGATAAAGTCCTACTAACAACTTTAATCATGCACAAGGTCTCTTTACTCATTATCTTAAACAGAGTAATCTCTTTGGGTTAAATGATGGTCGCTTAGGTCTATAACTTGAGTTTATTTGGCTTGATTATTATTTGTCTTTTTTTATCTTTAATCGATTCCTAGACACTATTATGAATAGTAATGTCTAGAAATTGATATAGGTTTCTCTACATTATTGACTCTTCTCATTTAATCCTCTTCATATTGCATAACATCAGTCAATAATTAGCTAAAATAATAATATTAAATAGAAACATTCTACTTACTCGATATATCCATCATCATCCATCTTTTTCATAAAAGATTGATGCTTGCTTGCTAGTATCTATGATTTTCCTCCATTGTTAATATTTAGCTTATTAATGTATGAGCTGAAGCTAACTTATAGTCTCATTAGCTTAGTTTCGAGTTATTTTATCTATTCCTGCATTTGAATTTCAGTTTATTGATGAATTTATTCCCTTTTCTAGGTGTATGATAGCATTTTCTCAAATTTATTGTTCATTTTCATTATCAAGTCCTCAAAGACGTAGCTATTTAAATAATGTTCAATAAACTCCATCTTATGAGTGATGAAACTCAGACTCTCTTTGTGCTCTTTATGAGATTTTACTAAGCTCTCAATGACCTTTGGTATTTTCTGATGCTCTTAAAAAGATGCTTAGGTTTAAGAGACAGTATGAAAAGAATCTTAATATATCATTGGCTCAGCATTTATGATATCAATTAAGGATATTTTGTGAGCTCCTTCTTCATATAATTACTCATTAAAAAGCTAATACCCAAATCTTCTATCGACATTCCCTTACTTAGTTCTTCTTTATTATGATTATTGCTAATTCAACTTAGAATTCTGCCTAGAAGTTTTACTGTTACCTGAATACAAAGAATGTGTTTCAGACCTTGTATTTGAATTAGGCTAAGTTTCATTTAAGAATGAGATATTTTATCTCTGATTTTACTTTACAGGCTATCTCCTAGCAGAAGTATAAAAGTTTGGTGAATTTGATCTTTTCCTGTTCATAATATTTATGGTAGAAACGTTTTAATAATTTGTATGAATACTCCCATTATTAATTGGTATGTTCTCACCATTTGATTTATATTTATCTATCATCTTTTTAATTGAACAATAAGAAGATGCTCCATAATGAGCAAGCTTCAAGCCTTACGATGGTTTACGATTTTCTTATCTTGATAGGTTGTGAGATTTATTACTTGAAATTCCAGAGCAAAATGACTTGCTAAACATTTTATTTCTTAACGTATTTTATAATTCAAATTTTCATATAATGTTAGCTTTTTTATCATCTTATTTGTCCATTATGGTGGATGCTGGGGTTTTGGGGTTTTGGGGTTTTGGGG